CATACATATATAAATACATATGTATATAAATATATATTTATGTACATAAACACATATGTATATATAAATATAGGTTATATTTATATATAAAACATTGCTCCCATTACCACAATGGGCCAAGCCACTATAACTTTTTGCCTGGATCATTACAAAATATAACATATTTCCCAACTTAAGCCCCTGCCTAGCACATTCCCTCAACAGTCTATTTTCAGCACGGCAGCCAGATTAAAACAAAAGACAGATCCAGTTAAAAACCTCCAACAGTTTACACACACACACACACACACACACACACACACATAAAAAAGTGGGTGTAAATTTTTTTCAGACAACTCATTTCTAGAATTCTTTGTAATAACTTTAACCATATGTATTTTGCCAATCACTGATTATAGCAATGTTTCTTTTTTTATTTATGATTATTCAGAAACCCTTTAAAGAAAGCATGGAAGAATAAGGGCTCCTCTATTCACTTAATTTTATCATTAATACTTTCATTGTCATCTTAATTCTTTTCTTCTATTTTCCTGTTTTTACTGCTGAAAACGAAAATGTTTATATAATATCGTACCTTCTTTTTGTCAGTATATATAAAAGTTTCCATTTTACTTCATAAATTTAATAAAGTAATGTTTATGTTTACAGTCAAGTAATGTTATAGTTCCATTGAGTTAATTTACTGTAATCTACTTACCCAATCATTTTTGATCTTTGCAATAGTTCTGTACTATATCAACTTGGCAACTGAACATTTTTCATGTGTTTACTTTCTTCTCTATCACCACTGGCATTATTTAGGCCTTAATCTTCTTTTTTTCCTTTCAGTTGTTTAGTCTCTTTATACTTTGCTTTCTATCAATTACACAAGTAACACATGAATAAATAAATATATACATTCTTCTTCAAAGCCTCATTCTCTCAACAGAAGTAATTATCATCAGTTCGGTACATATACTTCTCAACTTTTTAAAAAATGCACTTACTTTCATAAGTACATGCAGAAACGTTCCATTTTCTTTAAGTCATAGTACATTAGGTGATGGTATACTTAACGTACTATTATTAAGCAAAATATTTTCTTATGTTAAAACAGGCTCATAATTAATATCTGCTTCTGTCCATTCACATATTTCTCTACTGAACTTTACTGTAATATTCATTTTCATATAAGATATGCTACTTAATGCTAATGTTACCAAGGATTTGGCTTTTTATTAGAAGCATATAATTGCGAATACTATTGTATAAAACACATACTATTTTAAAACAAAAAATACATAAGTAGAAACCTGAAACTAAAACTGTCATGGAATTTAAAAGTTCAACCAAAATTTCTCCATATAATATTAATAAAATTTTAATCAAAATGATTGAGACATAAGAGTCTTTTTCTTTCTTTCTGGCCTTTATGTATTTTTAACAGCTTTATTTAATTTACAAACTATGAAAGTCACCGTTTTAAGTGTTTAGTAATTTTTAGTACATTTATACAGTTCTGCAGCAACACAATAATCTAGTTTTAGAATATTCCCATCAGCCCAAAAAGATTCCTTGTACCCATCTCCACAGATTTGCCTTTTCTAGACATTTCACATAAAAGGAAAGATGAGGTTTTTCTGACACATTTAAACATCAGATTTGGCAGCAAAAAAAAAAAAAAAATCACTATTTTTTTGCAGAAAAATTTTGCTGTTCAACTTCTTTCTGAAAGTTGTTAACATGCTTTGTTCATTTGGTAAGAACATTATGAACATAACAGAGCTCCTTTTCCTTCTTTCCTTCCCACCCTTCCTTCTCTTCCTTTTACCAATATATGTTTAGTATTTAACAATCTTTACTCTCAACAGCCCGGTTTCTCAGTATAGAATGTATGGAAGGATGAGGAATTGGCCTTTCTTTCAACTCCACTAAATATCCTGATAGTTTAACGGGAAAACAAAACACCAAGAAATCCAACATCATGACTTTTTTTTTTTTTGAGACAGGGTCTTGCTCTGTCATCCAGGCTGGAGTTCAGTGGCACGAACTTGGCTTGCTGCTGCAACCTCGGCCTTGAGGGTTCAAGAGATTCTCCTCCCTCAGCTTCCCAAGTAGCTGGGATTATAGGCCCCTGCCACCAGGCCCAGCTAAATTTTTTTGTATTTTTAGTAAAGATGGGGTTTCACCATGTTGACCAGTCTGGTTTTGGACACCTGACCTCAAATAATCTGCCCACCTTAGCCTCCCAAAGTGCTAAGATTACGGGCGTGAGCCATTGCATCCAGCCATCCTGAACATATTATATCCTTGACGTGTTTTAGCTTCTCCTAAATGTGGAATACATTTTTTAAAATATTGATGAGAAATCTGGCTGGGCACAGTGACTCACACCTGTAATCCCAGCACTTTGGGAGGCCGTGCAGATCACCTGAAGTCAGGAGTTTGAGGCCAATGTGGCCAACATGGTGAAACCCCATCTCTACTAAAAACACAAAAATGAGCCAGGCATGGTGGCGGGTGCCTGTAGTCCCATCTACTCAGGAGGCTGAGCCAGGAGAATCACTTGAACCCAGGAGGTGGACACTGCAGTGAGCCGGGGCTGCGCCACTGCACTCCAGCCTGGGAGACAGGGAAACTCCATCTCAAAAAAAAAAAAAAAAAAAGAGAAATCTATTTCACACAGATCTTCTAAAATTTAGAATGTTATCTCCAAACATAACTCCATCTCCCAAAAAATTTTGGTGTCACTCCTCTTTCTCTCACTATCCACATTCAATTCATTAGTAAGTCCTGTTGTGTCTACTATCAAAAGCATACTCAGAATCTGAACACTAACATCCTTACCATTACCACAACGGGGCAAGCCACTATGATTTTTTGCCTGAATTATTAAAAAAATCTAACATATCTCCCAACTTCAGCCCCTGCCTGAACTCAACTATCTATTTTCAGCACAGCAGAGAGATTAAAACAAAAAACAGATGTAGTTAAAAGCCTCCAACAGTTTTCCATTTTACTCAGATCAAAAGCCAAACTCCTTAGTGGTTATCTTGGAAATTATAATTAACATCTTAAACTTGTAACAACCTAGTTTAACTTAATCTAGGTAACCACTAAGAAAATAATTTAAGATATAAACAGGAAAGAAGAGAGTCAAAATAGTATACCATTTAAAAAAATCGATTAAATACAAAAACAGGTAATAATTGAAGAATTAACAAATAAAAACATGTAAGATATAGAAAACAACTAGCATTAAAGGAAACAATCATGAAAGTGACAACTAAGGCCAGTTGCCTATTATCCCAGCACTTTAGGAGGCTGAGGTAGGAGGATTAATTGCGCCTAGGAGTTGGAGACCTTGTCCCCACAAAAAAAAATTACAAATATTAGCCAAGCATGGTACTTGGAGACTGAAGTTGGAGGATCACTTGAGCCCTGGAGGCTAAGGCTGCAGTGAGCCAAAGTTGCATTGATGCACTCCAGCCTGAAGGAAGAAGAAAGACTCTGCCCCTAAAAAAAGTGAAAACTACAGAAGGAGAAAAATACTTGCAATCATAAATCTGGTAAGGAGTAATATCCAGAATACATAAAGAACTCTTACAACTCAGCAATGAAAAGACAATCTAATTAAAAAATAGGCAAAGTCACCATGGCACATGTATACTTGTAACAAACCTGCACATTCTGCACATGTATCCCAGAACTTAAAATAAAATTAAAAAACAATAGGCAAAGGATTTTAACAGATATTTCTCCACAGAAGATACACAAATAGCCATGAAGTACATGAAAAGATGCCATCATTAGCCATTAGGGAAACGCAAATCAAAGCCACAAGACGTATCACTTCACACCTGCAATCACTATAATTTTAAAAATGGAAAATAACATGTTTGTGAGGATGTGGAGAAACTGGAGCCCTTATACAGGTAGTGGGCTCTAATAGTGCAACTGCTTGCGAAAAACATTAAGATGAAGTTCCTCAAAAAGTTAAACAGTGAATTACCACATGATCTGGCAATTCCATTTCTAGGTATATACCCAAAAGAACTGAAGGCATAAACTCAAACAGATACTTGTACACCAATGTTCATAGCAGCACTATTCACAATAGCCAAAGGTAAAAGCAACCCAAATGTCCATCAGTAGATAAATGGATAAACAAAAGGTGGTATATACATTCAACGCCTACTATTCATCTATAAAAAGAACTGAAGTACTGACGTGCTACAACAAAGATGAACCTTGAAAACATTATACTAAGTGACATAAGCCAGATACAAAAGGACAAATATTGAATGATTTCACTTATAAGAAATATCTAGAACTTCATAGAGACAGAAAGTGGATGGGAGGTTACCAGGGTTTGGTGTGGGGGAGAGGGAAATGAGGGGTTATTGCTTAAAGGGTACAGTGTCTGTTTGGAGTGATGAGAAAATTTTGGAAATTTTAGAGAGTTGCTAATAGTTGTACAACATTGTATGTAACAGTATTGAATTACCTACTTAAAATGGGCAAAATGGCAAATTTTTGTTACATACATTTCACTTTTTTGTTTTTTTAAGCCAAAGTTCTTACAGTCACATCAAATTCCCCAAAGTCTTTTAAATGGCATCTAAGGTCACTGGGACCCGACACCTCATCTCTCTGAACTCATCTCCCACCACTTTTCCTCTAACTTTCTCTACATCCAGGCCTCTCTCATGTTCCTTGAGCACTTTGGGCATGGTCCTGATCATGGCCTCTGCATTTGCTGATCCTTCTGCCTGAAATGGTCCTGCCCCTTATCTCCATTATTCACATCCTCCTTCCTTCAGGACTTTCCTTAAATATCATCATCTCAGTGAGGACTCCCTTGTCTACCCTTATCTAAAACTGCAGTCTCTCCCGTCATGCATCCTCTACCTCTTCTCTGCTATATTTTTCTCCACAGAATTGTAACTGTCTAGTATATGATATATATTTTTTATTTACACTCATTCTCTTCCACTAGAATGTAAACACAATAAGGGCAGATATATTTTGTTTAATGCTGTGTCCCTAAAACAGATACTTTAGCCAGGCACATACTAAGCAACCAATAAATAATTGTGAATTAATGTATAGTAATTTATTCAAAATTCCAACATAAGACTACTGACCAATTATTAAGACTTGCCACATCTTAAATCGTCTTCGAAATTGGAGATGGCTCTATTTTTACTTAAAACTTCAAATTCTATTCTATCCATCTAGGATGCAATTAAAACTTGCTACTATATTGCTGCCTTTTCTTTTCTTTTTTTTTTTTTTTTTTTGAGACAGGCTCTCCCTCTGTCACCCAGGCTGGAGTGCAGTGGCACCAACACATGGTTCACTGCAGCCTTGATCTCCTGAGCTCAAATGATTCTCCCACCTCAGCCTCCTGAGTAGCTGGGACCACAGGCACATGCCTCCATGCTTGGCTTTTTTTTTTTTTTTTTTTTAATTTTGTAGAGACAGGGTCTTGCCATGTTGCCCAGGCTGGTGTTGAACTTCACCATGCCTGGCCTGACTTTTTTGGTGTATTACGTTTAACTTAGCATTGAAAATCATTCATACTGTTCCTGTACATTATTTAAGATTTCCCTATTCATTTTAACAGATGAGAAAAAGTAAAATATTGGAAAAGACCATATAACAATTAAATGGGAAAACCAGGCTTCTAATTTCTAATGTAATTTTCTTTCTAGGAACTTTTCCTTTGTTTTCTTGTTTTAAAATAATATGGTTTAAACTGATACAACAATTAGAATAAGCAGTTTCCTGATTTAATTCAGTATTTCATGAAGAGCAATCAGTTGGTTGAAAGACATTTCCATTTTGTTCAAGTGACCAAAGAACATCTTATTTGTTCCTAAGAATCTGTTTCTTTCTGGTTCTTCCTGATTACCATAAAGAAAGAGAAAAAATAATATCATATGGGCAGGTAAAAGTCAATTTAATCATTTTATAAGAAGAAATACAGAGAAACATGGATATATCTCACTAACGACAGCTATTTATAATTAGCTCCACGAATACATAATTTGAATCCTGAACGTACCAAGGTTTTCACCAAAAGTAAAAGCTGCTCAGAGTTAACACTGTAACACATACGTGAGGCAACTGAACAGTTCTACATGCAATGTGTCTAAGGAAAATACTTTTGGTAAAAGATTATAAAAAGGCATGAGAATGTTGATTTTTCTTGCCTAGATTAAAGGGTTAAAGAATTGTTTTAAGTTAGAATAAAGCTGAAGGTTTGAACAAGTTATGGAAGGTTTATAAATAAAACTATTATCTAAAAATCTGTTTTATACAATTGTGAACACTTATGCATAAAAGGAAATGCTATTGAGTAGAGCAGTCTATGCCTTACTTCTAGGTACTCAGTGGGTCCAATCACATTAATTTATTTCCAACTCTTGACTTCTGATATTTTTGAGTCTTTTTAAGTATGTCTCTTATAAACAGCATATATTAATTTTGTTATTTATTTTTTCATTTGGTCAATGTTTGTCTTTAGATTAATTTCCATGTAATGTGTTTATTGATACATTTGAATTTTTTCTACCTATTTATTTGGCCTTTTTGCTTTTTCGTTTCTATTTCTTTCCCTTCCTTTCTTGCCTTTATTTTAGCATGAGTGTTTTCTGTTTGTTTTTCTAAACTCTGAGGACATTCTTTTCCCACCCCTACTCCCCGTACGTTTTTGGAAATCATATGCTCTATTTAGTGGCTACTCCTGATAATTTTGGATGCATTTAAACTTAACAAAGTCTAAAGATAATCAATGTTGTTCCCTCCTGAAAAATAAAAACCTTAAAATATTTGAACTCTGATCACTCTCATCAAACATACACCATTGGCACCCAAAATTTTATTTTATTATTTTATTTTTTTAGACAGGGTCTCACTCTGTCACTCAGGTTGGAATGCAGTGGAATGATCTCGGCTCACTGCAACCTCTGCCTCCCAGGCTGAAGCAATCCTCCCACCTTATCCTCCCCAGTAGCTGGGACTACAGGAACACGCCACCATGCCTGGCTACTTTTTTTGTATTTTTAGAAGTGAAGGGGTTTTGCCATGTTGCCCAAGCTGGTCTTGAACTCCTGGGCACAAGCCATCTTCCAGTCTTGACCTCCCACAGTGCTGGGATTATAGGCATGAGCCGTCATGCCCAGATTCAAAATTTTAATTTTATCCTATTTACTATCTTTATAAATTAGGTACTTCTCTTACACAGACAATGCTTGCTTAGGTTTTATCTACATATTTTTTATTATGTTTATTCACTATTCTGTGTTGCATCTCAGACTTTCCATTGGCTAATCATTTTCCTTCTCCCTCAAGTTTAGTCTTTGATATTTGTGTCAGAAAGGGTCTGTTGGTTTTTATTTTTAATTAACTCTATTTTTGTTGTTTTTCAGGAATTGTCTTCATTGTGTTCGCTTTCTTGAAAGGCAGCTTCACTTGGCATAGAATTCTAGAATTCTAGCATTGAGGTTATATTTCCTCAATGCCCTGAAGACAGTATATTCTTTTTCTTCACTGTTGCTATGGAAAAGTCTTTTCTCAATCTGCTATTCCTTTGTAGATAATCTGTCTTTTCTCTTTGGCTGCTTTCAAAAATTTCTCTCTCTCTTAATTCTCAAAAATATCTGAGACACTCTTTCAATCTTGCCGCTTCTTTGTTCTTACTATTTATATTATTACACAACTTCTGTAACACCCACTAGATAGGTCTTTAATCTCTCACATTTTCTATATCTCAATCCCTAATGTCTGCATCTTTTTTGTATCTCTAGAGATAATTCAAGACAATTTTTTTCTCTTTTCTCTTTCAGTTGACTAACTCTCTTTTCAGCTAAGTCTAATGTGCTGTCGTTTATTTTGTATTTTATGAAACTTCTTTGAAATAATTTTAGACTTACAGAAAAATTGTGAAAATAGTACAAAGTTTCCATATACCCTTACCTCAGCTTTCCTTAAAGTTAACCATACTACAAGTACTACAACCAGGAAACTCACATTGACACAATACTATTGTCAGAGGCATTCTAACCAGAATGACTCCATTTTGAGTGAGGGCTAGGAAAACGAGGCTAGGACTTGCTGGGCTACACTCTCAAAAAGTTAGGCATTCCTAGTGTCTAGATGTTTATATTTAAGGGAACAAATTAATGTTTACTAAACAAACCCAGACTTGGGAGTGTCCAGATTATCTGGAGAACAAAAGCATTAATAATTTTGCTTTAAAGACAGTAATATCTATTTTGCAAAATATAGCAATTAAGAAAATTGATCCTTTATCACAAACCCTGGTAGCAGAACCCCATATATACAAGTATTGTGCCTATGGCAGATGCATTCCTCCACTTATTTTTGGCAATGTCCTACTCTGTCTATGGAGTAGCTGTACTTTCATCACTTTACTTTCTTAATAAACTTGCTTTTACTTTGCACTGCAGACTCACCCTGAATTCTTTCTTGTGCAGGATTCAAGAGCCCTCTCTTGGAGTCTGGATCAGGACCCCTTTCCTGTAACGGTATTATCTATAGACCCTGTACAAGACATTTGGTTTTCAGATCTCTGTAGATACTTACAACTTGTGACAGTTCTTTAGTCTTTCTTGTGTTTCTTGATCTTGACACTTTAAGAGTACCAATGAATTATTTGTAAAACATTCCATAGTTTGGGATTGCCTGACATTTTCTCATGACTAAATTTAGGTTATGCTTTTTTGGGGTCAAGACTACTATGTAAGTTATATTGTACCCATCTCTGTGCATCCTATCAGGGGGTAAATATGCTGATATATATTCTTACTGGTAATATTAACATTGATCACTTGGTTAAAGTGTATTTGCCAATTTTCTTCTCTATGAAGTTACTATTTTTCCCTATATAATTAATACCTATTTTGTGGGAATACTTATTAAGTATTTTGTGCATACTTTTACCAACTAATTTGAACATCCGCTGATAATTCTTGTCTGTAACAATTGTTGCTGGGGTATTTAGTGATGATTTTTTTTTAATCAGTCCTTCTACCTTTGTTAATTAGGATTCTACTATTTAAAAAAACCTGTGCCTTTCCCCCGATTTGTTCAGTTATTTCTTTATGTAGAATAAATTCATGGATATTTATTTTATCCTACAAGCTAAAATCCCTTACTGTCATCATTCTGTTGTCTAAGTTGTCCCAGATTTGGCCATTGAGACATCCTCTAAGCTAACTCCTGAGTTCTTTTGCCCACCTTTGTCTCCTTATTTATTTTTTTTGAGGCAGAGTTTCACTCTTCTTGCCCAGGCTGGAGTGCAGTGGCGTGATCTCGGCTCACTGCAACCTCTGCCTCCTGGGTTCAAGCGATTCTCCTGCCTCAGCCTCCTGAGTAGCTGGGATTATAGGCACCTGCCACCATGCTCGGCTAATTTTTGTATTTTTAATAGATACACGGTTTCACCATGTTGCCCAGGCTGGTCTCAAACTCTTGACCTCAGATGATCTACCACCTCGGCCTCCCAAAGTGCTAGGATTATAGGCATGAGCTACTGCCACCCAGCCTTACCCACCTTTTTCTTCTGTTTACAGTATCTCTCAAATTTTTTTAGTCTTATTGAAATATAATTTGCATACCACACAATTCACCTATTGTAAGTGTACAATACAATGATTTTTAACAAATGTATTTAACTGTGCAACATTCACCACAATCCAGTTTTAGAACACTTTCATCGCCCTTTTTTAATGTCCATTTGCAGTCAATCCCTGCTCTAACACTCAACTGCAGGCAAACATTGATTTGTTTTCTGTATCTTTAGTTTTAACTTTTCTAGAAAATTTCATACAATATGCAGTCTTATGTGTCTGCCCATTTTATTTAGCTTTTTTTTTTTGAGATGCAGTCTCACTGTGTCGCCCAGGCTGGAGTGCGGTGGTGCAACCTCAGCTCACTGCAACCTCCACCTCTCCAAGCAGTTCTCCTGCCTCAGCCTCCTGAGTAGCTGGGACTACACGCCCAGCTAATTTTTTTGTATTTTTTTTGTAGAAACAGGGTTTTACCATGTTGTCCAGGATGGTCATGAACTCCTGACCTCGTGATCTGCCAGCCTCAGCCTCCCAAAGTGCTGGGATTACAGACATGAGCCACCGTGCCTGGCCAGCATAATGTTTTTGAGGTTCATCCATACTATCACATGTATCAGTTCTCCTTCCCTTTTTTAAAAAATTGCCAAGCAGTACTCTTCTAAGCACTTCCTTACTTTCTTGCACCACAGTGTTCTGGGTTCATCCTCTATGTCTCCCGTCCCAGCCCTGGAGTCAACCATTTCTCTAGGCAGCCCTAGGTACCCATTGAGTTTTCATTTCAATTCCCTTTTTCATATTTAGAAGTACTGTTTGGTTCCTTTTAAATCTGTTTGGCTATTCTTTAAAAGGTGATTAGCTAACACCCGGTAACAAAGAGATCCTAAAATGTAGTAGTGGCTTAAGATAGAAAATTGTTTTCTTCTCATGCAATAGTTTGGAAACAAGGTGTGTAGAGGTGGTGATTCAGCTCAACACATACTTCAATCTCTGTGTCCAAATTCTGCAGACTTGAGTTTTCATCAATTATCAGTACACAAGAAGAGGAAATAGGTAGGGAGCAGCACCCACGCATTCCTTCTTAAGGCAAAACACAAAGGTATCACACATGACTTCTATTCACAATCCACTGCCAAAACCTCAGGGGCCATACCAACGTTCAAGGAAAGTCAGCACATATTGTTTCCAGCTTAACAGCCATATATCTATACAACTTAACTTATTACGTTCTAAAATATAGAAAGATCAAACAATCACTTAGTTTCTCAAATGAGCCTTCATACAATCCCACCCTGTACTGACAGGTAGTATTTGAATAGTTTTATATTACATCAATAATATAAAAGTTCAATTTAAAAACTTTTCCTTAATTTTCACTCAGCCATTTGTAATGGATTATTTATATTTATCAGTATCTTTTCCTCTCTACAAGTTACCACTTTCTCAAAGTAAAAGGATTAAACAAGTAAAAGAGTATACTAGGAGTTCAACAATAAAAGTACACTGCCATATAACCTAAGCTAAACTAGTAGCTAACATTTGTTAAGCGGTATATTTTACATACATAATTTCAAAAAACCTCACAATCTCCTTATAAGGTAAGGGCTTCTTATCTCACAGGCGAGAAAACTAAGGATTAGAGACCTTATGTTACCCAAGATCATAAAATTACTATTATAGCAATAGTTTGTATTTATATAGTTTGTAACACTGAGAGTAACTGAAAATATTTTAGATATTTAAGCTACTTTCTTAAAGTATCATTATTACCAGTAACATTTTTAACAATTTACTTTTATTAGCATTTCTCACTACTCAGCATTTTGGTGTTTTCTAAGTTTTCTTGACTGGAAAAATTTATTACAAACACAAAGTTAAAAATAATATAATTCAGATTTATATTAATATAATTTTGTACTATCTAATAAAACTGGAATGAACACCATATATTCGCTAAATTCTCTCTGTGCCCTTCCAATCATTCTGAAAGCTAAATTATCTATAAATTAATACTTTCATTTTCATCTTTTCCCAAGTTGTTAAAGGAGGTAAATAGAAGAAACAACAACAAAAATTCCACATTTCTTAACAGGTATTAAAATATGACTTTAAAAAGCCCCCAAAATTTAAAAATAGCACTGGAAACAGAAAGCAAATAGAAGCAGGAAACTCTCAGTTACAAGATAGGCTAATAAACATTTTTTAATTAAGGATGTGAAATTTATCAAGAGGGGAGAAAGTGCTTGTACTCCTGTTCAAATATTTGTTCCTGTCTTTCCATAATGAATGTTTTCCTTTGTAGATCTTGACAAACTCCTTCCCATGTCAGCATCTCTATCTAAAGTTGATAGACCAAAGATTTATTTTCAAACATGGACTATAATGGAATACGAAGTTGACTTGATGCCTGCTGTGCTACTCCCACAAAAATATTCCTGAAACTATTTTCTCAGACATAGTTAGTATGTTCTCTGATTATGGCAGGAAAAAAAAGATCAAATTATTAGCCAAAGAGTTCGCTAATCATACCCTAATTTTTCTATATTTCTAATCTCTTAAATACATTTTACACCATCTTATGGTTTTGAAATATAGCTTCTAAACTTTCCCCCCTTATTGAGGTCTAGTTGACAGTTACATAGTGCATATATTTAAGTTATAAAACTTGATGATCTGATATATATATACATTGTGAAACGTCACCAAAATCAAGCTAATTAACGTTATCAATCACCGTATATAAGTATCTTTAAAAAATTTTTTTAGTTTCTAAACTTTTATACCATACTGAATAAAACTATTTTAGTTTATCCTGATATGACACTAGACACATAAGTACATATCAGTAAATATAACTATCTAATCTTACATGTGGCTTATCACCTTTGAATTGGTAATTTCTCTAGAGATATTTAGGAAACCAGTGACTACTAGTGAACATTTCCCTTTTAACATTAGATTTGGCTCATCAACAATTCAGTAATAGCTGGCAATGAAATAAATAATTATTTAGACATTTTCTATTTATGTCAAGTAATGAATTATTTGTTTTAACATATTTTACCTTCAGAAGTTAAAATTCTTACAAAAAGTCATATCTTATTCTTCTCTGATATGTATTTATAATGACCAACTTAAGAGAAGTTTTTAAGTTCTATGAGAAATCAAAAGAAAAGAGCATCTGAAAACAGAATTTGAAGAATATTTTAATAAGAAATACTTGCTTAGAATAAATGACATGAAAAACAGGGACAATTTTTTAAGCACCTTCCTTCAAGAAACATAAAATATGCTGTACTTTAAAAAAATAATAATTTGTCACAACAAATTTCTGCTCATGAGAAACTCTTCTAAAACTTATTTTGAAAATATTTTGAACTGAGATATTTGACATCATAATTCAAATTACTTGTTAAAACTGTCATTAAAACTAAAGAGCAAATGGTACAACTATGAATATGTGACATTAAAGATAACTAAATCATTTTCTAAACTTTAGACTTTTAGCTCAACCTTCATGGTATTATAACTGACAGAATAACTGAAGCATAGTAAGAGAAAACATAACTCAATATATCAAGTAAATAGATTTCAGATACGTAAAAAAAAATTTCAACTCTCAGAAAAACTCAGAAACTGGACTCTACAACTTAAGCTCACCCTCTCTCACCCCATTTTTCCTTTATCTTCTTCATTTTGTATATATCTGCATAAAATTAAAAACTACATTCCACTGTAGTGGTTCACTGATATGGAGTGTGACCTAGTCTTTGTTTTGCTTTCAAGGGGACTTCTGTAAAATAGAACATAAATCAGTTACTAAAAGAATGAAATTTAAAAACAAAGAGATAGACAATATACCTCCAAATGTTGTTATTAGATTCAATAGGCATGCAATTACCATGTAAAATTGCTATAAAATTTTCTAAATGTTTATTCTCAATTTCTATACTTATTTCATTGTCAACAAGTAACAAACAATCTGAAAACCAGCATAAGTCCACAGACCATATTTTGGGTAGCACTGCCCCAGACAGGGATCGAGAAAGACATCACATAAAAAATATTTATTAGGAATTCATAAAGCTTTAAGTGATACTCTATAAATTTTCTGCCTAAGAATATGTATTTAAATCTAAAATAAATGCATCAATGTAACTTTCTTCTCAAAATTAAGCAGCAGCTTTATCACATTTGAAGACAAATACAGAGTTTGAAGGTTATTTGAGCATGCAGTTAATTTAAATGAGAAAAAAATTTGGCCTTGAAAATAAAAGAAACTCTGCAAGTTAATCTAATTTGTCTGCCTGTTTTCTCTTAAGAGTAACACTGGTTGTTAAATTGGTCCTATAAATAATTCCTACTTGTCCACTATAAAACATTACTTGTTCTAAATGAGTGATTAGGAAGTTACAGCCATGATTCACAAAAAATGAACTTATGATCATCTATTGGTTTTAAACCAGAACTATTTCTGCCCTAACTACTACATGTATTTCCTGTTCTACACCAAGAAACTGAAAATAGGGTATTTCAGGTTGAAAACAGAACCAGAGAACCTAAATACAATAATATTTTCCAATAAAATGTCTTTGCTTCAAAATAATAGAAAGCTGAAAGGCCCTTCAAAATATGACACTATTTTTCAGATCAACTTCCAGCTTTGTTTACAACTTTATAACTCACATAGTTAACTGAAGTAAAGAAATATTAAAAACTGATAATTTGTGGAATAGGCCTTAAGGAAGCAATAAATCCAGAAATGAAATAAATACATATTTATATTTACATTACCTAAATAACAAAGCTATCTGTTATCGGATGTGTATTCTGGTTTACAATTCCGTAAAAATCAAAGTTTCTATAACCAAAGAAGAAAACTTGTTACTTCCAATATTTGAACTGTCATAATTACAGCAGCAGTCTTTCCTGCGTGACTCCTGAAGGCAAATGTAGCACCAATGAATGAAACTGATAGTTACCAGGTTAACTTTTAACAATCACACTAACAATGAAAATGACTGTCTAGAAAGAAACTCCTATATTACTATTACCAGAGAAAATTAAGCTGAAGGTACATAACCAACGATTTAGCTAAAATTATTTTCTAATGTACTATTCAATACTAAGATTTTATTGTTCTGTTGTGATCCTAGCAAAGGGATAAATACTTCCTAGCACTTGGGGCTAGAACCCATCTTCTCATACAGTCGATGAAACAGGCATGATAATTTTTTGCTGAAATGAATCTAAATCCACATACTGAGGTTTATCAGTATTTCTCAAATATGCAGTTGTGCCTGAGGTTACTGATATTGGGTAAAAGAACTGTGTTTCAAAATAAATATGTGACAAACCTGAATGTAATACAATGTGCATAGTTAACAATATTTTTGGTAATTACTTATTAAAGCCGAATAGCAGTTTTATGCTCACTACTTTTTTTTTTTTTTTTTAAAAAGAAGTGTTAGAAAAGATCTGGAGATGAGGTTTCTTAAGCTTGAAATATTATTTTCGGCTGGGCACGGTGCCTCACGCCTGTAATCCCAGCACTTTGGGAGGCCGAGGCGGATGGATCACCTGAGGTCCAGGAGTTCGAGACCATTCTAGGCAACATGGTGAAACCCCATCTCTACTAAAAATACAAAATTAGCCAGGCCTGGTTGTGCGTGCCTG